TGTTCTCTGAGTTTTATTTCCTTCTCTTCCATCACTTCCTGGCCCGCCTGCTTGTTTGCCTGTCTATATAGGACATGCTCAGACTAGGCCACTTTTCCTGAGCAACTTCCTAGTGGTCGGAGCTCATGTGTGTTGCTACTGCCTGAATCCTATATTGACTACTTGTGTACCGACCCCAGCTTCGTTCTCTGACCTTGCTTGTTTTCCGCCTGTCCTGACCTCGGCTAGCCTATTGAATTTCGATTGTCTCCTCCCATTATACTCTGCTCCCGCAAGTGGTGTCCTCAACCTCAGCTGGGCGTACCTGGGGGCCACGACCTGGTCCCAGCTTGCTGCAAGTCCATCCCCTCCATCAGGGGCTCTGGTGAAGAAGCAGGCTGGGGCTTAGACTCCATGCCCTGGGGAACCCCAAGTTGAGTATCAACAAGAGGTCACTACCACAGGTGCTGACAGGATATGATTTGACATGAGCACACACAGCCACACAGGTTAAACTTGACATGATGGACTGGTGTCTTTATTCAACCTTATCAACTATGTGACTTTGTGTACAACAAGAAAAGGAAATACAGAATGTCCAATGTATAAAAACTAATGAGGAATAGAAGTCTTATTGAAGGGCTCAACTGCTGATTGGAAATGACCAAAGGTGGGTGCAGAGATGACACAAGAAGATACATTTCATAGAATAAAAAAGGAGGACTAGTAAATTACCAAGAAACCTCTTGGGTTTTCTGAGAGATATAAGAATCCAATGAATGGTTGAAGCCACCAAGTGTCCATCTTTAGTTGAACTATCAGTATTGGGTGAACTAAACCTTTAAAGCTTACTTATGGTCACAATTAAAAATCATATATTCATTTTCAAACTGAATTTCAATTATTTCTAGCCTATTATTGTGAATGATCTTGAAGTTTGTAAAGATCCCTACACATTTACTTCCCTGAATTCTGTGAAACCTTTCTCTATGCCCTATGTGTAGGCACTGCTTTCACAGAGACTGCCTTCTGATCTACAGAGGTAATGAGAGGAAGAGTTTCAGGAGGCGGAGTCAGGAATCACTGCTTGCAGATGGCAAGGTACCATAGGATATGTAGTCCATAGAAACTGAAAGCATACGAGAAGAAGCTGCAAAGCATGCAGGGCATCCAGGAAGTTGTGGAAAGAGTAGGGCAGCAGACAAACAGAAGTCACAATATGAAAGAAGATTTTTCAAGTAAACTTACAGTGCATTTTCAAGTACAGTATTATTATTACAATGCTTATGTTATAAAATACATGGAACAAAATTCATCCAGTCCCTGCTGTAACATACAAATTTTGATCCATGTGTGGTCAGCCTAAGACTTGGTGGACTGTTGGGTGGGAAGAGAGGACATTTAAAGGATAAGTGTGAAAAAGCCAGCAGTGTGTGGTTGCACTCCACCATCTCTCTTAATATGAAATTTCTAGGTCAACTTGAATTTGAAGGCACAGCACATATAAAAACGAAGAATGAGACTGAAGTAGAGCAGAAATGAATTAACTGTGCTCATATAGTTGGAATGAGAAGATTTGCGGCACAAAAGTTATCCTGCAGTGGAGCTTGATGATGTCCTCAAGGACACGGCCAGTAACTCACTAGGCCACATCTACGACGAAGATTAAAATGCACTCAGCTTTCCCTCCTGCTACCAGTCTGCATTCTATCACATCTGTAAGCATTTTTTCCGTGTAATATTCATATTTTGTGATGGTCTGATATAATTATACCATGCCATCTGTAGCGATTCCTTGAACACGCGTTTCTCGAGAGATGAAAAGAGCTGTTTACCGGGAGTCCTTCAGGAATTGTACAAGGATCTTCACTCATCTAAAAAAAAAAAATCACAACCCTATAAAGGACCGATAAACTAGAAAACACAAGCCACTCTGCCTCTTGGATGACGTGCTTAGAAGCCACAAGCTCAGTTCCTTTTAATTATCTGCCAGAACCTTGAAAGCGTCTTGCTACAAATATTGATATAACTCAGTGATTATCAACGTCTTACTGGGTTTCAATTGTGTTCCAGGAAAAGCGTTCTTCTAAAGCCACTTGTTACAAAAGAAAGAGAGATCTCTTTATAGAACTGCATGGAGAAAAACATGGAGTGTTATGTTAGCCAAGGATAAGTCAAAGAAAAACTCAGCTCGCCATTTGCATGGAAACCAACCACATACTTCTGTCTTGATCCTAAGCCAGGAACAAAATAGTGAAAACACTTAGGTGTCTAGATAAAAGGGGGCAAAGGATCAAATGTGTGAATATTGCCACTGTTCTTTCATAGCTTATCATCCAAATGTATGGATTACTTAAAAAGAGAAGCTTAAAATGGAACCTTTTCCCTTCTTTTACATTTCCTCATTGTAGATTTCCTAGTTTCTGGTTAAATGATTCATACATCCCATAAGTTTTCATGAGGGGAAGAAGGGCTTTCTCAGCTAAGCACATCCTCTGCCTACTTTCCTGAGCTAAGGGCAGATAGATTCCAGGAAGTAAAAGCTATATGAATCATTGTTTCTAATCAAGATTTTGCTAGGGGCGGCTTTGTTTTTTTTTGGTTTTGATTTCCCAACAAAATAAAGCATGGAAACATTGATGGATGGGTGAGTCTCAGGGGCAGCTGGCCTTTGAACAATAAAAAATAAATTAAAATAGCATTTTCAGTTTGTGGTGCTCAGATATCATTTAAAATGTCATTAAACTTAAACGTCATGGGTTACATTTGTATATATGTCTATAAAATGTGTTTGTTGCACCTGTGCTCATATGTTGTTTCTATACAAGTTATCTTTCATCAGTGTTCCCTTTTTTTTTTTTTTAAACCAGTAAACAGCGCCCCCATGTCCATGTAGTCTACTCCATCAAAATAGCATGCAGGGCAGTCATGTGAAGTACATAAGTAATGGCAAGTACTGTAAATTGTGGCTCCGGCAGGTATAAGACGTCACGCTCTGTGCAGTTCCGCACTTAGGCTTTCTGCAACCTCTACACTGAACTGGGTGAACTGTATCTTTCATCTTTTTTTTTTTTTTTAATCCTCCGCATTTCCATGTACTGCCCCCTTGTCTGTGACAACATCACTGCAGTTGATCTTGTGGTCCCTGCATTGCCACTCTTAGTGTTCATGCTCCCGCTACTGCCTGTTGGGAGAAGGCATTGATTTTCTTACTTTGTCACATTAAAATAATGAAATGACAACCGTTCTAGCTATTATTCATCCCAAGAATAACAACTGTAATGCAATTAATTGAATAATAATATTTTAGTTATTGAAGGTGGAGTTTGTTCTGAAAGACAGCCCCAGTCATCACGTATGCATTATGGCGCATAGGAGAAAAGAGGGAGAGAGCGAATGTCGCTTAAGCGAACTGGAGCTGCCCCATGTGATGGCCCCACATTTGATGAAAAGGAGTCACATGGGGCAGCTCCAGCTTGAGTGACATTTGCTCTTTCTTTAGCACCTTATGACGGTGGTATATGTGCTCCATCTATCCTGCTCTCTATGGGGCAATGTAATGACTGGGGCTTTATAATAAACTCCACCTCCACCAGTTTAAAATATTACTATATAATGAATTGTATTACAGTTGCTATTTTTGAGATGAATAATGGCTTAAAAAGTTAGTTGTTAATTAGTTGTTAGGAAATTTTTTTTTTTTTTTTATAAAACCAAATAACCGCAACAGTGCCAGTCAACACTGAGCTCTTACAGGAAGAAAAAAGATAACTGCAGGATATGCCAGCGGCCTCACTGTTTGCTCTGCCCACTGATCGTATGCTGTGGTGCGAAGCAAGTGAAACAAGGTTACATGACCATCATAAATAGTTACAAAAATAAGGTATGTTCTAATGTTTTTTTATTAGTTTTAAGTAAATTTGCTTATATTGCAATCATTCATTTGAAATGGTGACTGTGGGCTTAATGATACTTTAAAGTGTTACTAAAAACCCAGAACCCTGCATTCATTACATTTGACCTCACACAGTACACAGCACATGGAAATGCAATTATTTTAGTCACAGCGACTTTCAGAAGGTTACTCCCCTACTTTGATGCGACTTAGTGCCAGAGAGTGAAAAGTCAGATCAAAGTCACATCAAAGTCGCAGTGGGATTTAGGCAACTTTGGAGTTGCACATGTGTGAATGGAGCCTTATGAAAGAATGATAAAAGAATGTTACATGCAAAAGCCAACTAACAGAAATGGACATTCCACACATTACAGGTATTACTAGTTACTTTTGCAAAATGTTTACATTTTACTTTTTTTACTTCTGAGGCATTTGCAATGCAATGTTTTTTTATATATGTAGCGCTCCTCTAGATAGCCAGGGGGAGCTAGTTGCTAATTGTTAGTTAGAAAGGCTGAGCAGCAGCCTGGAAATAGTTAGCAGGGTCAAATTTGGTCAGGGGGCTGAGGAGGCTCTGCACATCAATTCCTTGATACCTCCCTCTGCTCTAGAATCTTGGAGAAGATTCTAGAAACAGTGGGTGGGGGTGAGGAGGGTCTGCATACATATGGGATCAGAGCAATCCTCAGGGAGGTGGCTTGGCATGGGGTCAGGGACAGTCCTTAAAGTGTTACTAAACCAGGACCCTTCATTTACTATATCTGGTCTTCCACAGTACACAGAACATGGAAATGCAATTATTTTAGTAAATATAAACTAAATACCTTTTTATCATCAGCAGTATATAGCAGTGACTTCTATCACTGTCCAGAAGAGCACTGGTTAAAGCTTGTGGGAGGAGTTTTCATCCTCCCCTGATTGTCCTATGAGGCTGCATAACCCCTGCCCCTCTGTCTGTACAGTGCTGATTGGCCCTGTGCTTATCACATGCACTCTCCCAAGAAAAAAAAATCTCCAGCAATACACACCAAACTGAGGATGGACTGGGGACAGTAGAAGAAGGGGAGGATCAGAGAAGACAGGATCAAACAGCTTTTTTTACACATGTGGAGGATTAACCCCTTAGGTTCCACAGTCAGTATAACAAGCATGCTTTAATGCATATACAGACTGATTGTACTGTTGTGGGTTTAACCTTAAGTTGCATTTTAAGTCTTTTTAATATTTTTAGATATACAGTACATTTGGGAGGGATCAGTACTCTTAAACATTTTCCATTACTAGATTATTTAAACAGTGATACAAATCTGGTTCATTGGCTGTTCCAAACAAACGTCTCTCTTTAAAAAAAGAAGACTGTATGGTGCTGCTGCATCAATATGCAAATCTTGATTTTATCAAGGGTCTACAGATAAGCCCTCAACTCCATCCCTGACCACTCCTCCTGGAAGCCGACAAAGGCAGGGAACATTACATTGATTGCCACCAGAAGAGCAGAAGTGTCTTCAATTCGTGGGCTGTGATTGACATCTAAACTTCAAATTTTATATGCTGTACATGAGGCACGATGGCTGCACTTAAGAAGCATTCAACAGAGTGACAATGCTGCGGGGGTTTCCCTGCATGGTCATCTGCCTTGTCACCCTGCTGAAGGAACATGTACACTGAAGCAAAAAGCAAATTCCATGCAAAAGCATTCAGTTTGCTTAATGAGATTATAATTTTCCACTGGCAACTTTAAAAAAAAACAAAAAACTATAATTCTACTTTAAAGTGGACCTGAAATGAAAAGAAGATTTTCTATGTTATAGTTAAAATCTAGAAATAGTACTTATAGTATATATATATATATATATATATAATCATATATACTATAGTGCCTAAGCAGTACCCTACAATGTACCTTTTGCCTTGAATTCCTTCTGAAAATTAGCAGTCTACTTCTACTACCTAGGCACTCCTTTGCCTTGAGCCCCATAGCTGTATACCGCAGTATGAGATCTAAAGCACTGCTGTCTCTAACTTCTAGTCTCACCAGATGTGGAGGAAGATTTGGTGAGGTCACTACTGTGCTGCTCACTGTTCTTTCTGCTGGAGAGGAAGCTGTACCTGTGGACTTGTAGTGCAAGAATCTCCCATGCTTCTGCTTCATCCATTCCCTGAATCTTTCCTCAACATCTCCTTCTATTTCTGGGATATTTCCCCCAACACTTATATCACCAGTCATCAGGGAGCAGGCCTAACATAAGAGAAAAAAAGCCTTGTTTCTTACCAAAAATAGCCACCTCCACATAAAAACACAGTGCAGGACAAAAGGACTGATAGGCGGCACTGATGGGTACTGATAACCAGCACTGAGGAGGTACTGATAGCCAGCACTGATGGGCACTGATACAAAGCACTGATGGGCACTGATACAAAGTACTGATAAGCACTGATGGGCACTGATACAAAGCACGGATGGGCACACACTGATCATCAGAAATGCCGCTTATGGCTCTCTGTCAGGGATCCCGGGTCCTCGGCGGCGCGCGCATGCGCAGACCGCCGATCCGTCCCAGCCGGCGAGCGCAGAATCCTCGGCGATCGCCGGCAGGCCGCGCATGCGCAGTAGCGATCGCGGCCGCACCAATGGGAGAGCAGGGCGCTCTATTTAAAGCTGCCTGTGCATCTCCAAGTTGCCGCAAGGTCTCGTTCCTGTTCCTGTAAGTACGCTCCTTGTTGCCAAACTCTGCCTGTCCTGTTTATGCTGACCTTCTCCTGCTCTGACCCGGCTGTCCCTGACCATCCTTCTGCTGACCTCCTGCACCCGCTGCTGCCCGACTACCTGCTGAAACTGGCTTGTGACCCCGGACCATTCTCCGCTTACTCCCCCAGTACCACAACTGCCCGCACAATACCGACCCGGCTAGTCTGGACCTGCCTATCTGATAGCTCCTGATAGCTGCCCATCCACCCGCCACCGCTCGGATCAGGATCTGTCATCCCATACCATCCCGCTCGGATCGGGGATCTGTGTCATCCCCTTACACAGCAGGCTCTACCCAGGCAACATACCCTCAGCGGGACCCCTCTGCCACGCGGGGGGTGCCCAGGACGCGACCTGGTTTCAGTCTTGCACCAAGTCCAATCCCCACCATCAGGGGCCCTGGTGAAAAGGCAGACTGGGACTTGACTCCGCGTCCTGGGAAACCCCGTGCCGTTGGACCACTAGAGATCCCGTTGGGCGGAGCCTGACAGTACCTTGGGCGGCCGGTTTTTTTTTGGATGACTGAGCCTGGAAGGGGAACTTCCCCCTCCTGGTCAAACAGATGGAGACCCTTACACTGGGAATTAGGGGGCCTACAGGAAGGTTATACGGTATTGGACAGACGCAACGCAGACCTTAGCTACCCTACCAGGGGGTCTGGGGAACCCATTAGGAAGACTCCGGGAGTTGTTACCCGCACCAGAACCCCGTGTCCCCACACCGGAACGTTTTTTCCGGAGGACCGAAGTAGATTCAGGGCCTTTCGTAACTCCTGTCAGTTATACTTTGACCTCTCCAGCCTCAGACCTTTTCCTCCGAATCAGTGAGGGTAGGGGTTCATTATTTCCCTACTACAGGGGGGGACCCCAAGACTGGGCCCACCGTCTCCGAGAGAAGCGAGACCCACTATTGACAGTCAGTGACGGTATTTTTTGAGGCTATGGCCCTCTTGTATGTACGACCGCTGCGCACCGCAACGGACCGAGAGGGCCCTATATACTACACTCAGGCAGGGTCACCGGACAGTGGAGGGGACTATGCCGCCGAATTCAGGCGGTTGGCCATAGTGACTGCCAATGGAACGAGGCGGCTTGCACCACCAGTTCCGGTTGGGGTTAGCCTGAATCCCTGAAGGACGAATTGGCGACGAATAGACATACCTAGCACTTTAGGAGGCCTTGATAGCTTTGACTATTCGAATTGACCGCCGGTTACGGGGAGCACAGGCAGGGAAGATGCAACCAAGGACAAGGATCTTAACTGGAACACTCCCCCTCAGGCCTCAACCCAGTTACAGCCGGCAGGCCAGAATCAGGTTGCCATGGATTCACCCGAGACCGGGCCATCGGGAAGGATCCGACCGACACACTTACGCTGAGGAACGCCAGAGGCATCTTGCCAACCATCTCTGCCTCTACTGTGGGGGAGCAGGCCATGTGGTACGTACCTGTCCAGCCGAAGAGGGGTAAGTGTTTCCGCTGTTTTTCTCTACAGTCACTTCTAACAGTGTGGGCAATACTAGTTTATCTGGCGGTACCTGTGTCACTTCAGCTGCCGGGGAGATAGAAACAGTGGTGACCACGGCTATTGTGGGATTTCTGGGGCGTGTAGTTGCTTCATAGATTTAGACTTTGCAGTTCAGCAACAAATTCCCCTACAAACCAAGGAGGTGGGATTGAATATTTTTCTAGCAGATGGATCACGTATTAAGTCAGGGGTGGTGGACCAACGAGGGACCCCACCTATCCGTACTACCATATCGACCCATCATGAAGAACTCCTTCGGTTGGACGACACATAGCATCCCACTATTTCCAATTATTTTGGGGCTCCCGTGGTTACGAGCCCATAATCCCCAGGGTGGACTGGAAGGCGGGTTCTATGCAGTTCCTCATCCCCATACTGCGAGCAGCATTGCCTCCCTAAGTTCTCCCCGATTGCACCGACTTTGTTGTGTCTAGAGACAGATGCAGAGGCTGGCGCAAAAGTCATTCTGTCAGTTTAACCATAATTTTCTGGACGTGTTTAGCAAGAGCGGGGGGGCGGACATTCTCAATCCGCACCGAGCTTATGACTGCCCAATTGATCTCCTCCCGGGGTCGGAAATCCCCATTTGGGCGGATATTCCCCTTATCCGAGCGGGAGTATGAGAGTTCGGGGGTACTAAAGGAGTAGATATAGATGAAAACCTCCATAAGGGTTTATTTAGACCTCCACGGTCACCAGCCGGGGATTGGGCATTTTCTTTGTGGAGAAAAAAAAGACAAGGTCCCTTCCGGCCCTGCGTAGATTACCGGGACTTGAATAAGGTCACAGTAAAAAACCGTTACCCGCTAAAAATCCACTCGTCCCCGAGCTGTTTCAGAGGCGAAGTCAGCATTCTGTCTTCACTAAACTAGACTTGAGAGGTTTGCCTTAATTAGTTCGTATCAAAGAGGGGGACGAGTGGAAGACAGCAATTCCGTACCAGATTCGGACACTTTTTTTGAATACTTGGTTATGCCCTTCGGACTATGCAACGCCCCTGCCACACTTTCAACATTTCATAACGATGTCTTCAGGGACTACTAGATATCTTCGTCATTGTATACCTGGACGATATCCCTTGTCTTTTTCCCCAACCTTGGAGGACCATAGAGGTCACGTGAGGGCGTGTTAGAACGGCTCGCGCCAAACCACAGCTATATTGACCAAGGCAGACAAGTGCTGCTTTGAAACAGAGTAGCATTTCGTTTCTTGGGGTAGTGTAACCATCTCTCCCACGGGAATAGCCATGGATCCTCAAAAGGTTTCGGGCCTATTTTAGATTGGCCAGCCCCGCGATAAGAAATCGGTCCAACGTGTTTCATCGGCTTCGCGAATTTCTACCAGAAAGTTCATTAATAACTTTTCGGGCCTAGTGTCACCCAATCACCAGCTGACCAGGCAGGGGGGTTCGCTTCCAATGGACACCCGAGGCACAGAGGGCTTTCGAAGCCTTGAAGGAATTGTTTTACGGCTTGCTCTTATTCTGAGCACCCTGATTCGTCCTTGCCATATATTTTTGGAGGTGGACGCATCCGAGAATGCGGTCGGGGCAGATTTCCTGTCCCAGAGGCCCACATACCTATCATCGGGCATCAAAGAACTCATGCACCCAGTGGCTTTCTTCTCCAGGAAACTGGACTCCTGCGGAAAGGAATTATGATATCGGGGATCGGGAGCTCTTGGCGATTAAGGTGGCACTAGAGGAATGGAGATTACTTGTTAGAAGGGGCGGGGTACACCCAATATTGATTTTTACGGATCACTTAAGAACCTAGAGTATCATCTGAGGACAGCTAATACGTCTGAGGCCACGTCAAGCCAGGTGGGCGCTGTGTTCTTTTCACGGTTCTTTTTCCATATAACCTATAGGCCAGGGTCTAAGAACACAAAAACCAGACGCGCTCTCCCACATGTTTG